GTTTTGTTTTGTTTTTTGTTTTTTGTTTTGTTTTGTTGGGTTTTTTTTTTTAGCTGTAAAGCGATGATGATGATGATTATGAAGATGATCTGAAGCTGCTATCTAAATTGTTCTGGCACTATTGTTCTTGTTCATCTCATTTGTAGGCCTTCGAGTAAGGGAGATCAGTCAAGGTCCGCCCCCTCAACGCCAGGGAAACCCCGCAGTTGTTCAAGTTGGTAGAGTCTCTCCGGTCAAAATTGTCAACGAGACAATGTCAAAATCTGGGTTAGATTTATCCGAGTGAGCTCCGATAATAGCTCTCCAACGCCTTCGCTTGGCGCGGCAGAATAGAGACGGTTTTCAGTTTTTTTTAAAAATCTAACAGAAATGTTGTTGTTTTTTTAATGAATATACAAGGTTTGAATATTTTTTTAAAGAGTGGATAAAATTGATGAAAGGACGACAAAAATGAATTTAATGGTGCTTTCGATTTCCTCATTTTAACGACCACTTGATGTCCCCACGAAGCCCTACAATTGTTATTACTCTTTTAATTTGTTTTGACTCCTTCACTACAGGGGTTGTACTTCCACCTGGTGTTCAATCTGCACATTTATAGCCCCCCCTCCCCCTCCTATCTTTTATCCCATTGGGAACCATAAATGAGGTGGAATGGGGGCATGGGGTTGAGGCGGGGAGAAGTGGGCAGTCGTACAGGTTGTACAAGGTGACCCCTTTGACCGGACGCTAATCTCTTGCAGCTAGGCCATACTCCCTACATCCTCACCTGCTCCATCCGGGAGCTAATATCCGGTGACTAATGAGACCAACACAGGCTGTCACCCAGTGTCCTCTCAAAATTCTTCTTTGCCTGGCCAGTCATAATATTATGCACTATAAAAACTGATTTAAAAATCAACCGGAAATAATCTGCCAAAAATAATGTCTACTTGATCAAAGTCAGTAAAGTCTTTGATGTCCAACAGGTCTGATTGAAAAATCAACTAAATTGCAGTTTATGAGCTAAGGGAGACTATAAAATGTCTCGCGAGCACCATCAGGACGTTACTTCCTTCGTCAGGACATCATTCTGTGGGAGAAAGTTTGTGCTCTTTTTGGTAAATTTTGTTTCCGTCCAAATTGTATGTTCTGTTTGTTCTCTGTTTTCTACAAGTTTCGATTTAAATCATTTCTTGTCAATCGTTTCATAGCCTGAGCTCACTCTTGTCTTTTTTCACATTCTAAGATTTTCGTACCTTTCACTTACAAGGGGAATTATATAATACTTTCCACTATCTGGGTGATTCCCAACGCCCATCAAAATTACCAAATCACCCATTAGTTGTTGGTTTCTATTTGTTGTTATTTTTTTTTCGTGCGCTACGCGAATTCGTCATTTTCATTATTTTTCACAAAATACAATGTTAAAGTGTTATAATTTGAGTGTTTCGGTTACTAACATTATGACATTGAATGTCAATTAGTGTGTTTCTTTTACAACTTCGTACTACCTATTTCTCCCTCCCTCCATCCATCTCGGCACTGCACTGCACGGCATTGGACATCAATGTACTTAAAAGTGAGATGGCTGTAAACTAGAACTTTTTACTCTAGTGCGGTCAAAATTCGTGGTGCAACTGACAGTCAAATATTTCATATACTATGGCACATAGACTCTCAGGCTTTTGTACAATGACATGTATCAATTTGTCTTAACAGATCAATATTTTTTATAAACACATGTTAGCTGTGTTCTAGAAAATCTCTTAATCAATACAAATAAAAAATCCAAGTAGGTTGTTTCTACAAATTGTATAAGTTTTACAGCTGGGACAATATCACTTTTAAAAGCAAGTCTTTCATTTTTATTTCTATTTATATAATAGAGACATTGTTCTTATTGAAGGCATATTTTGAGAACCTTTAGTGTAAATAATGTGTTCACTAGATATAGAATAAATAATTTTTTGTAACAAGTATTGCTACCAAAAAGTGTCATTGGTGAGCTGTGACGTATGTGTATACAAAAAGTGTGTGAGAAGCGAGAAGTGCTGTGAATAATCCTACTTCCCGCGTTCCGGAAATTTATAGTACATGTATTTTATACCATACTTGAAGTGTTTTTTTTTTTTGGGGGGGGGGGGGGGGGGGGCTTTGCATTACATTTCCGGTAAAATAAATTTTTATCTTTCGCTCGTGAAATATAACTATTCCCCCATGATCAGACTCGTAAGCGCCAGAGACGTAATTTTCCAGGAGAAGGAAAAAACTGATTCATGTTGAAAGAACATTATCAAACCTCTTCAGCTTTGCATTAAACTATTCAAAACAATGTAACTAAATGAATGGTTAGTTACTTTTTAAGAACAAATATTGATTTTCCTACGTTATGGCGCTTACGAGGAATGATTACACTGCCGTGATTGTGATCACACTACGTAAGCGACGACGATTGTTGGTAAATCAATACTCGTAAGCGACAATATTTTCCCACGACAGAAGGACCGACCTTGGCAGGTAGTGGCCTAGACACGGAAGTGAGATCAAGTTAGTTCGTTTAGGGAAGGATTTGATTCCAGACTGGGTCATAATTAAAACTTTGTTAGAGACAAGAAACGTGTAAGGATTGGTTGGCATTTGCCAGAATAAGAGAGCTGGATGATGCGTGTAAGTTACCCGACTCTCCATGTGCATGTGCAGCAGTGCATTTTCTTATTTACGCACTTTGAGTTAAAATTAAAAAAAAAAAAAAAAAAGGAAACATTGTCAGCAGTGTCAAATTATAGAATAAAGTACATGCACATGCCATTTTCAGAGGCTCGTAGTACATTTAAATGGGTTCTTAAAAAAATATTCCTTGATCATTACATCGTTGCCTCTTGATGTTGGTTGTTTTTTGGTGGGGGGGTAGGGGGGGCGGGTTGAGTTTTTTTTTTTATGTTGTTGTTTTGTTGTTGTTGTTGTTGTTGTTGTTGTTGTTGTTGTTATTGTTTTTTTTTTTTATTTTGTTTGTTTGTTTTTTTTGTTTGTTTTTGTTCTTTTTGCTTTTTGTTTTGTTTTGCTGTTGTTGTTGTTGTTGTTGTTGTTGTTGTTGTTGTTGTTGTTGTTGTTGCTGTTGTTTTGTTTGTTTTTTGTGTTGTTTTTTCGGGGGGGGGTGTCAAGTTTGTCCCATGAATCAACGTATTCAGTTCTTGTACTCTCTTTTGCCATCTGGAGAATACGAATGCGTGTGCGACTGGCTAGCTTTTGTTTTCTTTTGTCACAAAGTTAGGATAAAAAGGCCGGCAATAGCAAGCAAATTTGTTTTGCTGATACGTCATATTTATGGTGGTTCTTAATTTTTTGGCCAAGGATTTCCCTGTCCACTCCGCAATGTTGTCGGTCCACCTCTTCCTTTGCATTCTTCTCCTTTCCTGCACAGTTTCCAGAAGAATGGTCTTGGATAGGCCACACGATCTTGCTACATGGTCATAACATTTCAGTTTTCTTCGTTTCACAGTAGACAGCAATTCTTCATAATGACTCATGTGTTGTTTCACTCTACTGCGCACTTCCTCATTAGTGACGTGGTCAGTGTATGAGATGCCAAACTGTAGTCTAAAGTAATCTCAGTTCGGCTGCTTGGATCTCCCTCTGAAGCTCTGCCGTCAAGGTCCATTAAGGATGGAGATAACGAGGGTATAGAGTAGTCTGAGTTTGAAATTGACTGAGATGTTTCTATCTTTCATTATTGGTCTGAGTTTTGTCAGCGTCTCTGTTGTTTGTGCAATTCTTGCATGGAATTCTGGCTTGAATCCTTCTTGGCTGATGATAGCACCAAGGTACTTGTTGCTTGAACTGGCCGACTGTTTTAAGCTGTTGACCACTGATTGTAATTTTGGTTTTGATGGGTTCGTCACTATTTCTCATCAACTTTGTTTTCTCGGCACTAATGTCCGTGCCATGTCTGTTTGATGTTTCATCCAGTCGTTTCACCAGTCTGACGAGTTCTTCTTCATTCCCGGCCAGTCCGCCAATGTCATCGGCAAATCTGAAGTTAGTGACTGTTAGTCTACCGACGCTGACTGTGCTTGTGTGATTTTCAAGGGCATCAGTCATGATTTGTTCAAGGAAGATGTTGAAAAGGATAGATGATTGCAGGCAATCTTGGCTTACACTGACGGCAGTGCGAAACCATTCTCTTATTTTTCCTTGGGACAACTTTCAGCATCACTTTGCTCGCATAGCTGATCAGGCTAATTGTTCGATAATTTTGGCATACCTGTAGATTTCCTTACAAGCACGTACACACATACAAAACCTACCACAACCCCACGCACTTAAATTGTATATATTATGCTGCTGTCCTTTCTCGTTGCTTTGTGCTGTTTAATTTTTGGAGTACTGAGGGGGGGGGGGGCGTCTTTTCTGAATTTGGAAAAAAAATCATAGAGGTTTAGATATGTTGCTGAGCCCTTCTTTATTATCTCAACTCTTTATTCTTACTGAGTCATCATCATTCAGATTCAGAATTGTTATTTGTCTGCTTTTTTTAAAATTGGTTTCTTGTATTTATTGGTTTGTTGTATTTATTTATTTTTTGTATTTATTGGTTTGTTGTATTTATTGGTTTGGTGTATTTATTGGTATGTTTAATAATACAGTTTGTCATGGATTCATTACCGGAGTTTGTGATATAGCGGTTAGGTACGCAGAAGGCCCGAGATCGAATCCGTACGGAGATGTTTTATATAGATCTAGTTGGCTATCTCAGTCTTACTGCATGGACGTTGTACGCCCCTCAGCCCGGGCTGGCCCTGACAGGCAAGTCGAAGTCCCAAATGATCAATGTTGGCGTAAAATATCTACATAAAAATGGAGGCATTTATTATTTTTTAAAGCTTTGTATTTTTCCCTTTTTATGGAACATTATCGAACCATATTTTTGTCATGAAATCCCATGTTTTCTTCTTTATACCCAAATATAAACCCCTTTTTTATTTAGATGTCTTACTCCCTCATTGACACGATTTAGAGCATTAGGCAGTGGACTTCGACCTCATGCCAGGTCCAAACCGAGCTGAGAGGAACACAACATCCCAGCAGAAAGACTGAGATACAAGCATTCAATCTAAAAAAAAAATAGTCACCACACAGGACTTTTAAGTCAGGTATTCTGCACGCGACGGTGAAGCTCTTACACGCTACATCACGAACAATATTCATATGAAGGCCAAACAGAGGCACAGGCTATTTCTCTCTTTTAGTGCTTTAGTCTCTTTCTGTTCCGTCTCTCAATTCAATTTTTCTTTAAGTTTACGAATCCTCTACATGTATTTATGTCTGTGCCCTTTATGAATACTGTATTTCTTCTTAAATGTTTCCTTTATGATTATGAATTCTGTATTTTTGTCTCTTTCTTCTTTTGTTTATGACGCCTGTATTTTTGTGTTTTTCCTTACTATGTTTCTGACGCCCGTATTTTTTTCTGTTTCCTTACTATGTTTTTGACGCCTGTATTTTTGTCTGTTTAATTTTGTGTTAACGAATCCTGTGTTTTTGTCCGTTTTCTTAAATATGTTTATTATGAATCCTATATTTTTTCTTTTTCCTTTTAGCTTTTATGTCTACCAATCATATACTGTTTTAGTCTGTTTCCTGTTAGGTTCACGATGAAAGTCATCTTTCTAGCTTTGTTGGGTGTCTGCGCCCTTGCATCAGTGGCCAGAGCGGATGATGATGACTGGAATAACTGGGTTGCAGCTGCCCTCCTTGCTCAGCTCATAGGCAATGGCCAGGTATCTATTCCCATGACCTACGTTACTAGCTTCTTCTTCTTCTTTTTCTTCTTCTTCTTCTTCTTCTTCTTCTTCTTCTTCTTCTTCTTCTTCTTCTT